TTTAAGTTCGGCTGGGGCCATTTTGTAGGGTGTTTTGGAGATAGGTTGCGTTCCTAACATGATGTCCACAGTAAACTCTATTTCTCTATCGACAAGGTGGCCAGGCAACTCAGTCGGAAAGACGTCGGAGAATTCCTCCGCAACGGGTATGTCGGCTAACTCAACACTTCCATTCGAATCACTTAGTATACTGCACAAATAACCCTGACACCCTTTTTGGATCAACTTATAGGCTTTCATGGATGAGATTAAGTAAGGTGGGGCCACTACTCCCTTACCCTAGAAAATAACCTCGGCTTGGTTTGGGGGTTTCAGCGTGACATTCTTCAAAACGCAATTAATGGATGCATGATTCGCTACTAACCAATACATTCCCAATATGACATCGAAGTGAGCCATGGTTAACGGCATTAAATCGACTAACAATTCTACACCCCCAATCACGACCACACACGCCCTATAAATGGATGCAACAATCATAGTTCTCCCAGATGGAGTAGACACATATAACACATAGTCAAGGGGTTCTTGTTCTCTATTTAACTTCTCGGCAAACTTAGCAGATACAAATGAATGCGTAGAACCCGAATCAATTAATATGTATGCATCTTGAGAGCAAATTGGGAGTATACCTGACACTACTGTCTCAGCATTCTGATTGTCTCCTGGTACCAATGCAAAAACTCTGCCCTGCCTCGCCTGTGCCCTTCTGATGTTATTTCTCTGTGCATAGCCCGAGGTACTCCTATTCTTCTTACCATCATCAGTCCTTGCCTTCGGGCAGTCTTTCACACAATGGCCCATTTCACCACATTCAAAACAGGCTCCCGATGCCCAACGACAAACTCTGGAATATGGTTTTCCAAAGCTTACGCACGTCGGCCTAGTATTACCTTCTTGGTTCGAGTTGCTGGAGCTGTCCACATTCGCTTTCTTCTTGGCGTTAAACAGAGCTCCGCGATTATCATAGTTCTGCCTCTTCTTCTGATTTTCTCCTGAGTTCTGGTATCGGTTCAAGTTAGCCTCTGCCAAGATGGCCTTGTCCAACACTCCGGCGTAGGTCGGCATATTGAGCATGTTAACTCGATCCTGAATTGGTCCACGTAGTCCACTTTCGAACTTCCTGGCCTTTCTGTATTCATCATCGACCATGTGTGGCGCATATCTCGCCAACTCGGTAAAAGCACGGTCATATTTTGCCACTGTCTTGTTGCCTTGTGTCAAAGTCTGAAATTCTGTGGTTTTACGGTCTCGAACACTAAGGGGGAAATGCTTGTTGTAAAATAATTCCAAAAATTTGGCCCAAGTCAGACCTGGGTTGCTTTCTCGGGTCATCATCCACCATCTTCGTGGATCGTCGTCTAGTGTGAATGTTGCCAGTGACACCTTCTGGGCATCGATACTGGGAAAGATCTCGAACAGCTTCTCCATTTCCAAGACCCACGCTTCGGCCTTCATCGGTTCAATACCCCCAGAGAACCTCAGCGGTTTCATCTTTTTGAACTCTCTGATCAAGGCTATGGTGTTGTCCCCATATAAAGCTTGCTATGGAGGCACTTGCGGCGTTGGAGGAGGTGGAGGTGGAATTGTACGTCGGCCATTTGTCTGCTCGGCCTGGGTAGAAGTAGTACTAGTGTCTTGTGGCTGAGTTTGCCTCAACTCACGGACCAAACCTTCGACCAATCTCTCTAATCTGTCCAATCTATCTTCGGGATGATCTCGGCCAACTGGTGGTCTATGGTGCTACCCCTTCTCAATGATGCTAAGAGTATGCAAAACGTGACTTAAAACAAAACGATCAAATGGACATGTACACAAGCAACAACAGTCAAGCCGAGATAATGCACCACCTTTGTCAAATAGCAAGCATTAGATGCAATCCTAACATTTTTCTAAGGAAAACCTATGCTCTTTAGGACCAAGTGTGTGAATAACGTACTATAAGAAAATTTGTGCTCTGATCACCAATCTGTCACGACCCCATCCCGCCCTAGTAGAGTGGTGCAGTAATCCGAGATTTACCTAAGGCCAACTTTCTAAATTCACACACAATCAGAGTATTATATATGGGGCTAACATGTGCGGAAGCAATATATACAAATTTAATTAGTCCATGAGAGCTGTGCATAAGTTAAATGGAATGGCATACATTCATACATAGCTTTAATACAACAAAATGAAGTACAAAAATACATCTTGACCAAAAGGCTTCTCAGCTTCCAAATACAAAATACAATAAAATACAACTAAGAAGCATAATCTTCAAGATGCGGCGGAGTGCATAATCCAAAACAAGTAGCAAGTACATCTAGGCGTCACCGCCGTCCTGCTCGTCACCTACATATATATGGAGAGGGGTGAGCTTGGATACTCAGTGAATGGTATAAATAATAAAGGGGTTTGCATGAATGGTATCCGAAATCTTTATCAAATCAAGGCACATCACATATTGTACAAAATCTAAGGGCAAATCAAG